ATCACTCAGGATCACTGCCAGACCGCAGCTTCTTATGTCTCTTTTCTGGTATTTTCATGCAAATTTATCTACTATTTTGGGTTTAGTCCACTTCTATATCCTTCCCTTCAAGGCTCAAGGGTCCAGGATTATCTTCTGTGTCTGTGTTAATTGGTTCCCCTTTTCTTTGTTGATGAGGGTCTGTGCAGTCTTTCTGCCTATTCTGCCATCTTGGAATCCTAATTTACATATTAACCTCATGAAGTAAGCACAGTCATTGCCTCTATTTTCAGAAAAAGGGAAATAATGTTCACAGTAAACAGGAGGTTACAAGAATACACAACTAGTAGTTGGTAGAGTAATGTTTCCATCTCTGGTGGAAACAGATAGTAGTCATCTCAGATAATATTTGTCCTTTTGTGATTGACTAATTTCAATCAGCACATTGTGCACAAGGTTCATCCATGTTATGAAATGTTTCTGAGATCCACTATTGTTTTTTTAACTTTGTGTAGCATTCCATGTTGTGTATGTATCATAGTTTGTGTATCCATTCATCCATTAATGGGAACTTAAGTGGTTTCCGTATTTTTGATATTGTGAATAATGATGTGAGGAACATCAGTGTGCATATATCTGTCTATGCCATGCTCATGGATAAGAAGGCTTAATATAGTAAAAATGTCAATACTACCCAAAATGATCTACAGATACTATGCAATCCTGATTTTGATTCTATCATCATTCTTTAAAGAGATAGAAAATCAATCACTAATTTTATATGGAATCAAAAGAGATATCAGACAAGCAAAGCATTACTAAAGAAGAAGAAGAAAGTAGGAGGTCTCACACTTCCCAATCTCAAATCCTACTATACAGCCATGGTAATCAAAACAGCCTGATATTGATACAATGACAGATATAGACCAATGGAATAGATTGAGAAACAAGAAGTAAATCCATACACCTATGACAGGAGATTGTTGACAAAGGGCCAAAACTCTTCAAATGGGGAAATGATAGTGTCTTTAAGAAATAGTGAAGGCAAAACTAGATTTTCATTTGCAGAAAAATGAAACAAGATAATGTTCAACACCATATAAAAAAAAATGAACTCAAAATGTGTCAAAGACCTAAATGTAAACCTAAAACTCTAAGGAATATCAAGGAAAAAACAGAGACAAACTGAGGGGTCTTGATACATGTCATAAATACACTCTAAAACATAACTGAAAATGCACACATATCAGAAGACAAACTAGATGACAGGGACATCCTAAAATTAGACAGTGAAGTGCATCAAAAATTTTCACCAATAGAGTAAATAGAGAACACAGAGACTGAGAAAAAAAATTATGGTAATGACATACTAGACAGGGTACTATTCTATAAAATTTATAGAAAATATCAATATCTTAACAACAAAAAGTCAATCCAATTGAAAAAATAGGGAGATACTTCACCAAATACATTCAGATGGCCAAAAACACATGAAGAAATTCTCATTATCAATTGTCATTAGATAGTACAAATCAAAAACAACAATGAGATTTCATCTCACCCCACCATTAGTCACAAAGGTGAAAAAAATACCTGAAAACAACAAATGTTGGCAAGGTTGTGGAGAGACTGGAACCCTATGCTGGAACGCAATGATGGATGGAATGTAAAATGGTGCAACCACTTTGGAAAATGGTAGGATGTTTCCTTAAAATATTTGAAATAGAAATAACATATGATCTAGCATCCCACTTCTAGGTATATTTGCTAGAGAAATTAAAACCATGACACAAACAGATATATGTATACCCATGTTCATTTTAGCATTATTCAAAAGAGGAAAAAGATGTAGACAATCAAAGTGCCCATTAACAGATGAATGGATAAACAAACTATGATACATACACACAGTGGAATACTATGCAATGGTAAAGAATAACAATCTGCAAAATGTCTCATAACATGAATGAACTTACAGGACTTTGTGCTGAGTTAAGTTAGTCAATCAAAAAAGAAGAAATATTGTATGAGATCACTATTATAAAAATTAAGGAAAAGCTTTTATACAAAAATAAATATTCTTTCATGATTACTGGGGATGGAGTGGGGAAGAAAGGGTAAACCACTAACTAGAGGGTAACACATATTAACTTTGGTGAAGCCAAAACCAAACCAAAGTCACTGACGTGGAGTGGGATCTGACTAATAGTGACCCCTCCTTGAGTTTCCGAGGCAGTATCACTATGGAAGTAGATTACCTATCCTTCCTCCCAAGGCATGGCTGGTGGGTTTGAACTGCCAGCCTTCTTGTTAGTAGTCAAATTCCTTAGGCACTATGCCACCAGAGCTTCCCTTGGGTAAAGAGGAAGACATTATACAATAAGGAAAGTGTCAGCAGAAAAATATTAAAAGCTAAGGAACACACTGGAAGAATTACAAGAATTAAAGGCAACAGAGGTAAATATTATTACATACACAACCCTCCAATAACAGTAACAAGAGTAATCTGCTAGTGGACACATAGACATGCAACCTGAACAGATGTAGTAAGGAAAATTGGGCCATACCCAAATTACATATAGATTTCACAGAGGATATTTCCACATACGTATTTACACATGCTACAAATATATCCATGGATATAATACAGCATACAGGGGGCACATTTAAGAAAACTCCTTAGCCATAATTAAAAACCCTGAGGGAAGGAGCTGCAGGGTCTTGGGGCTTAGGACCAGAGTCTCAGGGGACACTAAAGTCAATTGGCACAATATAGTCCAGAAAGAAAATGTTCTACATCTTACTTTGGTGAATGGTGACTAGGGTCTTAAAAGTTTGTGAGCTGTCATTGTGGTAGTTAAGGTTGTGTGTCAACTTGGCTGGGCCTGGTTGAGTGGCTGAGCAGCTGGTGGTAGTTATTCCCCATGAAGAGACTGGCAATCAACTCCATGGTGGGATCTACCACAAGCAGATGAGTAGCTGCTTTTGGGATATGGTCTGCTTCCCATATATAGGAAGCAGTTTTGGGAATGGTCTCTGGCTCATGGCATGCTTGAACTCTGTCTGCATGTAGCCATGTCATTATTCAGCAGTCTGCCATGCTTTGCAGACCTTGGGACTTTCAATGGACTTTAATCAATGGCCTGCCATGTTTGGTAACGTTGGGACTGTGCCTTTTCACTTGTTGGCCTTGTGTTTGTCAGCCTCAGCAGCCAGCAGCCAGCAGCCATCTGAGTGAAGAAAAGCCTCCAGCTTCAGTGGGCCGGGAGCAAGAAATGGAGTGGAAACCCACGATTAAACCCTAGCCTGACACTTTGAACACAGCCTTAAAGCCTCCAAACTATAAGAGAATAAACTCCTGTTTGTTAAAGCCATCCCATTTGTGGTATATTCTTTTCAGAATGGCAATAGGTAACCAGAACAGTCATGTAAGGTGCGATTATTGGTTTATTCTCATCTGGAGCAAAGAAAAGTAAGGAAAATCAAACACACATGGAAACAATTAGTCCAAAGGTCTAATAGACCATGTGATCCTCACCCTTCATGACCTTGAGACAAGAAGAAATAATGGTGCCTGGCTACCACTATTGATCACTCTGAAAGGGATCATATTAGAAAATATTGAATACAGTGGGAAAAAAATGTGGAAGAAAACACAAAATCTTCAAAAGGACCAGCCTTACTGCTCTGGTACAGACTTGTGGAACTGACAAGACTATGATCCTTAGTTCACACTTTGGACCTGGAACTGAACTCATTCCTTTGGTTCAATCTTCAGCCAAATAATAGACAGGTCCACAAGGTGAACCATAAGACTAGGAAAGTACACACTCTTTAGGAAAATCAACCATTCAATGCAGCAATGGCAGCATTTACCCAAGAAAAAAATTGTTAGGCAAGGAGGAGGAATGGAAAGGGGGAAGTGGGATGAGTGATGTTGCATTAAGGGTATTACAATCAATGGCAAGAAATGAAATGCATATGAATTGTTGAATGGAAAATTGATTTGTTCTGTAAACTTTCTTCCAAATCAGAATGAAACGTTTTTTAAAAGAAAAGAAATACCTATGAAAGCGACACAACACAAAGAATGTAACCAATGTCCCTGTACAACGTGTGCACGGAAATTGTTGAACCTATTTTCTTCTGTTTCACCAAAAATACAATAAATACTATAACAAAATAAATGAATGACAAAAAAACAGTACAGTCTTGTAACTCACTGGATATACCTTTAACCAAAGACAGGAATTGACTGAACTAATTTATATTAAAGAGCTAGTGATCAAATGTGTTTCTTCATTAGGAGCCATTAGGTTTAACATATACTCAAGAAAATGTAACCGCTTATGACAGGAAAAAGAAAATCACATGATGAATATTAATATTAGGTTTCAGTATCAAGTCCATAAGGGAGAGTTAAAGGGATGAGAAATTTCCTTGCATAATTCTGAACTTATTCTAGATTTATGACCTCTTTTACCCTTGTTTACAACCTTCCTTGTATGTAAAATGAATTTCTACATTCAAATTCAGCACAAATAATTCCAAGAAGAATGGATGCCTAATACAATTTTAAGAGAAAAGGACTCCATGAGTTATTCTGGGTTGGAATTTTCCTTCTCATCCAGTTCTACAACAAATGAAGAGGGTTAAGGTTTCGCCCTCATGGCTAGGGGTGAGAGGTATTTTGTAATACCTCAGCTCACTTCTCAGGAAGAACTAAGATTAGTTTTTTGTTTGCTTGCTTGTTTACTGCAAAAGACACATTTTAGCTCAAAATCCAACATGACATGACTTTGAAAATATCTTTTAAGGCCTTATCATCCCAACCCTGCCTAACTTCCTCACTCCTTAATAAAAGAAGAAATTTTCTCCCTCTGCATTACATTGCACATTTTCAATGTTATTAAAGTCTAGAAATAACTTTTAAATTATGTGATGCCATCTTATTTGAAAATAAGCTAACACTTTGTGGGTAGGGTCAGTCACATAGAAACATGATATGTGTGGGTACTTACTATAGGAACATCCATAGACCTCAACCCGCATGCCAATTTTTCCAGTTGGATTCCATTGCAGGGGCACAAAGCGAATGAACCTGGCCCTCACCGAGTGTAGTAACTTGTGGTGCACCACGCTGTCAGCATTCATGTTTCCTGCAAATGTCTGGAGAGAGAAAAACAGGCTGGGTGAGGTACCTGAGGCTATCTCTTTCCCAATTCAGTACTCAAGCAATATCAGTGGAAATCTACTTGTTACTCTCTGAGGTTTTCCAGAGAAAGCCCTCAATTTTGTAGATAATTAAATGAAATCATATTTGGGCGAAATGCCACATTATTTGTTGTATTTATTTTTTTCCAAAATACTGTGCAATCTTTAGCCCCAAAAAGATTTTAAGAACAAAACAATCCTAGCAAGGCCTGACACCTAAGTGACAGTTTTACAATGTATATAGTAAAATGAACTTCTGATATTCCTAACGTTCATAATCACTGTGGCATAGAAGAAAACTGACGATATCTTCATAGAAGGAAAGATTTTTAATGAAGTAATTGTTACCATTGTTGTTGTTGTTGTTGTTGTTATTTGCCGTCGAGTCGGCCCCGACTCATAGCGACCCCTTCTTGGGTTTCCGAGGCAGTATCACTACGGAAGTAGGATTGCCCAACCTTCCTTCCGAGGAGTGGCTGGTGGGTTTGAACCGCTAGCCTTCTGGTTAGCAGTCAAGTGCCTTAGGCACTATGCTACCAGAGCTCCTAATTGTTACCATTAATTAAGGCCAAATGCTGTGGTAAGCACTTCACATTATCATTATTACCATTTTATAGATAAAAAAGAAGCTGAGAGAGGAAAAGGGGGAGAAAAAAAAAGTTTTCCAAATGACCCAAGTGGTTAGTAATTCATCTCCAATTCACTTCCAAGGTTGTCGTATTCTTAAGGATGTGTCTTTTCTACAGCCCCATGCTTTTCTGCTATTTCATTTTTAATTATTACAGGAAGGAAAACATGAGATACAAATTTACATGTACCTAATTTACATATTTCCTTAAGAAACTTAAGCTAAATAGTGCATAGAGCAGGAGCTGTTTTGACCATTGTATTTATGCCTTGTCACCTCATTGAGATGACTGATTTCTAGGAGAACATTTTCTATTGACAGAACTCAAAGGCTCATATCTAATCTTTAAGACAGAATACCATGTAGCACACTGATATGCTTGCTTTTTCAGTATCAGGTATTCAGAAAGAAAGCAAGCTTGCTGATGTGCAATCAAAACCAAACAATAAAATGATGATCCATAAATTTCTCAAATAGCTAAAGTGAACAGAAAGTAAAGAATTTTGTCAGCTTACTGAAATCAATTTTCAAAATCCAAAACTTAACATTAGTTGTATACTCATCAGACCCAAATCATTGACTCACTTCTAACTCATGGTGACGCCACGTGTTTCATAATAGAACTGTGCTCCACAGGCTTTTCAATGGCTGATTTTTCAGAAATAGATTGTCTGGCCTTTCTTCTAAGGCACATCAGGGAGGGTTGGAACCACCAGTCTTTCAGTTAGTAGTTGAGCACTTAATTATTTGCATCTTGTGGAACTTTCAGTATCTTCACAACACTTGAAAATCTAGAGTACCTTGAACAATCTTTATATATGTTCTGCATTGCCCTTGAGTCAGATCCAACTCCTAGTGACCCCTCCTTGGGTTTCCAAGGCAGTATCACTACTGAAGTAGATTGCCCAACCTTCCTTCTGAGGAATGGCTTGTGGGTTTGAACCACCAGTCTTCTGGTTAGTAGTCAAATGCCTTAGGCATTACAGCACCAGAGCGTCCAGATATGCACAAAACATTCACTAACTAATAACTCTGGCACTAAGCAATTGATCTGCTTGGAAGGAAGATGGGACAATCTACTTCCATAGTGATACTGCCTTGGAAATCCAAGGAGGGGTCGCTATTTGTCAGGTACGACTCGACGGCACATAACTACAACAACAGCAAGCAATTGATATTACTATTATATATTGGAAGCTTTTGAAGAAAGAAAAAGCTCACTTTCTATTTTCCAGCTACACCTCAGCAAAAATCTCATGTAAAAGAAAGACTTAATGGAGATTATTGTAACTGTGGCTCTTAAATGTCTAGTCTAACATGACAGCTCACACATTTGTTAAAAGTTGGTCTTTTTTCTTCTTTTCCAAGCAAAGACAGACTTTATTTGACAGGTTGCTCTTCCACAAAGGATGTATGGTAGGACAAATGGAATTACACTTCTGTAAGTGTATCTAACACCATATGTGAATTAATATAAAATTAATTTGAGGTAAACTCTGGTAAGTTAAGGATGCATAAAATAAGCCAAAGAAGTATAAGCACAAAGCCAGTAGAAGAGAGAGGATGATATCATAAAAATAATACTGTATATAATACAAAATGAGACAGTAAAGGAGGAACAAAAGGATAAGTATCAGAGGAGAAAAATAAAAGAAAATGAAAGAAAGTGACTTAAGCTCATCCAAATGATAACTGAGTCAAAGAAAACTGAAGAAATATTCTAATTATAAGGCAGAATTTGTCAGCCTGGATTAAAACCATGGATCATCTATATGCTATTCATATGGTACTCATTTCTATTAATAAGGACATTGACAGGTTGAAGTAAAAGGATAAGAAAAGATACTGCAAACAAACAGTAGGCTTAAGAAACCTCAAGTTATTCTGTTAAGACCAGACAAAGTAGGCTGCAGGATAAAGTATATATTACAAAGCACAAGAAAGAGACATGTCAAAATGATAAAGGGTCAATTCATCATGTTGATATAAAATCTTTAATGTGTATGCATCTAAATCCGAAATTCAAAACACAGGAAACAAAACCTGACAGAGACAAAAAATGGAGAGAAGGAAACAAATCCTCAACTATAGTAGTAGTATTTGATACCCTCCCTCAGTAATTGGGAGCTCTGGTAGCATAGTGCCTAAGGAACTTGACAGCTAACCAGAAGGCTTGTGGTTCAAACCCATCAGCCACTTCTCGGAAGGAAAGTTGGGCAATCTACTTCCATAGTGATACTGTCTTGGCAACCCAAGGAGGGGTTGGTATGAGTCAGGTCCAACTCGACAACACATAACAACAACAACAACTGGGTAATTGATTGAACAAATGGGCAAAAGATCGTAAAGATATACCAAAATCAAACAAAACACACTGAGGTCCAGTCGATTCCAACTCACAGTGACTCCTCCTTGGGTTTCTGAGGTGATACCTCAACAGAAGTAAACTGCTCAGTCTTCCTTCCCAGGAGTAGCTGGTGGGTGTGAACTGTTGGTCTTGAAGTTAACAGTCAAATGCCTTAGGCACTACGCCACCAGAGCTTCCAGTAAGGACATGTTGTTGTTGTTATGTGCTGTCGGGCTCATAGCCACCCCTCCCTGGGTTGCCAAGGCAGTATCACTAGGGAAGTAGATTGCCCAACCTTCCTTCCAAGGAGTGGCTGATGGGTTTGAACTGCCAGTCTTCTGGTTAGCAGTCAAGTTCCTTAAGCACTGTGCTATCAGAGCTCCTTAGAACTAAATTAAATTAGGAATCAATAATAATAAATTATCTATAAAATTTAAAATATTTCTAAATCAATCAAAATACTTCTAAATAATCCACAGATCATAGAAATTAGAATGGAAATCTGGAAATTGTTTGAATTGAATGATGATAAAAACATTTTATCAAAATTTTTGGAATAGAGCCAAATCAGTCCTTAGAGGGATAGTTATGATTTTAAATCTTCTTTGTATATGAAGAAAGAGAAAAACCTAAGATCTAAGCTTCCACCCAAATTTGTGAGAAAAAGGGTAATTTAAATTCAGAATATTAATAGACTGATATGATGATACTCAGCAACAGAAACTAGCAAATTACTAATACCAGGAGTAAAATATTATGTTGAGAAAACACACCATCCATAAAGCTTCCATATATAGTATATAATTCTACGAATATGAAGATCTAGAACAGACCAAATTAAGCTCTGGTGATAGAAGTGGGATCAGGAATTTTCTTCATGATGGGAGGAAGAAGACCACTGCAAATGAATATTCATTAATTCAGTTTATAACACATCTTTCTGAGGTAAGTGATATTTTTTTTTTTTTCATTGTAAGATGAGAAAATTTAATTTTAGAGAGGGTATGTGGGATCTGAAGTCATAAATCAAAGTATTACCAGAAATTGGAAATAGATTATAGATATTTTTGTTAAAATCCAGTGACAACTTCACTGTCATTATTCCCTTCATATGAATATGAAGCCTGGTTTCTGAACCAAATAATTGTTGTGGCTACAATAAAAGCTACCATTTTTTAGGGCCTTTTTCATGCCAGGCAATTGCTGGTCTCTTTGCATAAATTAGTCCAGTTAGCCCCACATATCTTCAAGGAGGAGACTCTGGGTGGTATAAAGAATTTGCACATTTGGCTGCTAACCAAAGAACTTGAGATTTGAGCCTACCCAGAAAAATCTCAGAAGAAAAGTCTTCATAATATACTTCTGAAAAAAACAGCCATTGAAAACCCTATGGAGCAAAGTTCTACTCTTACACATGTCAAGTTGCAATGAGTTGAAATCAACTCTCTGGCAACTCTTACTGGTATTGATATCTTCAAGGAAGATTTAAGCCAACTTTCTCACTAAAGGTGGAAACTTTGTACTCACATTTAACCTATCTGAATCTATAGTACATCCTACGATTGTGGGGTAATTTAATATATAATATCACATACTCTTTAAAAACTATTATTACTTTGATAATAAATATTCTGAACGGGATATCTGGGGCGCAGAGAGATTAATGGCATGACGAATATAAAACCAAATTTGGGCATAGACTCTGATTGTAGCAACAAGATAAATTTATTTATTTATTTTAAATTGTTTTTATGGTTCTTAACAAAGCTGTTTATTGATTTTATCCCCATGCTGGAAAAAGGTGCATGTATTAGTCTCCCTTTCCCCATTTTTTCCTAAAATTAAAAAATGTGAAGATCATAGAAGTTAAGTTCCTTGTAAAGGTCATAGTGATAGTGAACTTTGCTCTTTGAGGACAACTTCAGTTTTTATCCTCCTTCATATAACTCTCTACCCAATATAGCCTAAATATTACGATAG